TTTGGTGCTTGTGGTGGTGAATGCAGGTGCCCACTGAGGCCTCAGATCCCCTAGAGCTGGAGTAAAAGGTGGTTGTGAGGCCCCCACATGGGGCTGAGAGCTGAACTGGGGTCTAGCAAGAGCAACTAGCGCTCTTAACTGCTGAGCCATCTCTCCAGCCCAAGTGCTCCATGTTTTAAAAGCATCTCAATCAATACTCATCCATTGATTGAGGTGAGAACCTCAATCAAGCCCAGCAGACCTCTCCGGGTAAAACCCAGGCATGACTGGGCTGCCTGGGTGGACACCAGCTGTTCCAGTGCCACCCAGAGGTTAGCATGCAAATGAAGCACCTGAGGAATTTGGGCAAAATACAGTCTGATTCTAAAGACTACATTTCTAGTGACATCCCAACCAATGTCAATGCTGCTGGCCCACTGACCGGAGGAAGACAGCCAAGAGTGGGAACTGAGCTTCTCAAGATTTCAGTGGTTCCAGAATCCCCAGAACACACATTAGAGACAGGAGCCCAGACTCACTCAAGTTCTTAATGTGCTCTATGCCTCTATTTTTACTACTATCCAGGTGGTTCTGATATAAGCACCAAAGTCCGGGAACTACTGATTTGAATATTAAAGAAAAAGAAAAAGAGAGAGAAAGAGAGAAAGAGAAGGACATGGGGACAGAGGGACAAAGGATATATGCTATGGAAATTAGTATACAGGTTCCTCAAAAATCACAAAAAATTAAAATGGAGGACCCAGTTTACCATGACTAGGTTCATGCTTGAAGGACTCTTAAGTCAGAATACCTCAAAGGCACGTGTACATCCATGCTGACTGCTACACTATTCACAATACACGGAAGCAGCCTAGATGTCTATTGACAAACAAATGGATAAAGAGAATGTGGTACATATATAAGATGGGCTTTGATTCAGACATAAATAAGAATGAAATAATGACGTACAGGAAAGTGAATGGAACTGGCCATTATTATGTTAAGCGAAATAAGCCAGATTTAGAAAGATAAATTTCCCTTTTGTGGACTCTCCCCCCCTTTCTCTCTCCGTGTGTGTGTGTGTGTGTGTGTGTGTGTGTGTGTGTGTGTCTGTGTGTGCTGTGCATTGTGTGTAGGACATGAAGGGAGGAGGAGTTCTAATGGAAGGGAGACAAGAGGGAAATAACAAAGTTGATGAGATGGATGTGACACAAAAGCAGAAGAGAGGACTGTCTGAGGAGAGAAGGGAACCGAGAGAGCAGGTAAGACGGCAGGGTAGTGGCGGTGGGTAAGTAAGAAGCAACTATAATGTCTGAAATGCCACAACAAAAGACATTACTTAGCACGTTAACTAAAAAATCAATTTCAAAAAATTCACTGAGTGTCACATCCAGGAAATTCCATCTGTCACTAATGACCAAAACTAAGAGAGGGGTCAGTGACCCAGACGAGAGATGCAAGAGACGGGCAGTGGGAGTGACAGTGTGTGTAAACTCAGGGCATAAATTGGGTTTCTCAAAGCGGGTGGAAACAGGATTCCTAGAGATCAGTTTTCACATGGAGAGAGCTCTCAGAGGATTCAAAGATCGCTCGGACAGCCGGCTGACCTTGTGCCCTGAGAGTATTTCAGGTGACAGGAGGAAGGGAGAAAGTCCTTTTAAACCTGAGCTCTTAGAAGCAAAGGCTGGGTTCTGGGAAGAGCCGCAGGCAGAAAGAGCAAAAACACTCAAAGGGAAGAGAGGAACACAAGAAAGGCTTTAGAAGGACAATCAGGACAGACTGCACACAGTCTAAGTCTTTGCTCAAGGGCATCCCTGGGCTTTCCAGCGGGGGAGGGGAGGACAAGACCACCCTCTTTGGCAGAATCCTCAGTCACAGACTGCTCATCCTGCCAGGGACGCAGTACTGAGCTCTGAAGTGGGAGAACTCAGACAACAGTGTGGATTTGTGGCTTCTCTTGATCTGTTTTCTGGGTTTTAATATAATTTATACCATTTCTCTGAGGCAAAAGTTCAGTGAGAATACTCTGGAAACTGTCACCCACACCCCTTCTGGAAGGAGAAGGCTGAGCACTTACTTCAGGTCACAGGATTTCAGCTTGACTCCTTAACAGTCATTAAGACAGATGAAAGATAGAAACAGCACATCATAAAACATTAATACAGGAAATGTTAAAGAGCTCCTAACTGAAAAACAAATAAAATGGATACAATCCGAACGGAGTCATGGTCATTAATGTCATGGTCATTCGTTCGCCCAACTCAGAGACTTTGTTTGTTTATTCCTTTATCTACGTGAGTCCTGGTTATCATGAACTCACTATGTATACCAGGCTGGCAGTGAACTCACAAAAGTCAGCCTGCCTCTACTTCCCAAGCACTGGAATTAAAGGTGTGCGGCACTACAACCACCTTAATCCAAAGATTTATTTGGCAGGAAAAACAAACAAACAAAAAGCAGGAGTGGGTGTGTTACCCACTCCTGACAGAGGGATGGAAGCTGCGGCCCGATACAGAGCCTGGATGGTGAAGGACAGCGGCTGGCTGAAGTCTCATTATGACACGTGCAGATGTAGGTGAGCTGGCCAAGATCTAACTTAGAGGTGATGTAAAGTTGTAGAGTAAGCATCAGGATACTGACTTGGACTGTCCATTCAGATAGGAATCTGAGGTTCTAAAAGGCCAGTTTGGGAGCTATGGTGGTTAATCTTCACTGTCAGCTTGAATGCGTTTAAGGTACCCAGGAAATATGCTTCCGGGGGTAGCTGTGGCGGTTATTTCTAGGGAGGATAACTGGGAACGAATGGCCCACACTGAATGTAGATAGCACCATGCCATGCACCGGGTCTAAGACTGAATAAAAACGGGGGAATGAAAAGAGAAGGTGAGTGAGTGTGAGGGCTCACCTCGCTATTTCCTAACTGTGGGCTTGTGTGACTGGCCGCCCTGTGAGTCCACCACCATGCCTTCTCCACTGTGATGGACCCTCGCCTCAAACTGTGAGCCCAAACTGACCCTTCTCCCCTCCGGTTGTCTTGTTTTTGTCAGGCATTTTATCACAGCGGTAGAAAATAACTGATGTAAGAGCGAATTACACTCTCCTAACACAGCTCTACCTTGCCTTTGCTGGGGAATCTGGACCCGAATTCACATTCCTCTATGGAAACAGAAATCCGTGTTTCAGGTCTCCATAACGTGTCTGATCTCGGAGCTAACCACCCAGCACTTTATTGGCCTGGTTTCAATGCTACAGCCACTGCAACTCCCTTCAAACAGCCCAGGGATTCCCCATGAGGAAGCAGCGGAAACTCCTCAAACCTGGTCTACCAAGCAAGAGAACGGGCAACGTCCTTCCCGGCAGAACCAACATTAAAACAACTTTCTTTTTTTTTCAGCCAAGTGCACTGGGCATCCATGATAGTTAGAAAATGCTTTAGGAGATCCAAAGATGGTCTGTTTTTACAGCCTCTTAAACAGAACCAAGCTGAAGAAACAGGCCAGCCTACAAAACATATTGCAAACTCTCCTTGCTGAGAGTGGAGAGGGAGGAAATGGGGGGAAGGGGGCAGTGAATGGGAAAGCCATCAGCCCCCAAGTCATCCAACCTCCTGCAGCCCAGGTGAACCAAGGCTCCCACGTCATATAGCTTATCATACCCGTGTGAACCAAGAAGCCCCTCTCAGCAAGCTCCTGTCTCCTGATGCTTACTCATGCAAATCTACCGAGCCTTGCTATGATACTCTAAGACGCCCACAAGCTGTGTAAGCTGTTGGCTGGGGAAGCCCAGAGCTACCCCTCAGCCACACTAACACCTTCACCATCAGCTGCTCATAGAGTGCTCTCATCCCCTCAGTGCTCATCTACCCACTCGACTGGAAGTGGCCACCTCTTTAGGCCTTAGAGCTTGGTGGTTCTTGACATCCACTCCCGTAGCGTGGGTCTTGGACAGAACTCCAAAAATTAGAAGCACCTGTTTCCTTGTTGAAAGGGAGTGGGGATGGGGAGTCTGGTCTTTGTGGCAATTCTAAGCACATTTTCTTTCCTTTAAAAGGATTTGTTTCGCTGTGTATGTGTGTCTGTCTGTGGGTACAGGGGCCATAAGCATTGGCTTCCTCTACCGCTGGAATTACACATAGTTGAGAATTGCCTGATGTGGATGCTGACAACTGACTTCAGGTCCTCTGTGAGAACACTGTGACCATGTAACCACTGGGCCACCTTCCCAGTCTCCCTGAGCAAAGTTTCAGTGCATAAGTTGAGTATGTTTCATCTGTAGTAATCTTGGGCACATGTTGTTAAACTCTGGCTCATTTCTCTTTTAACAGTACTGAGGAATCTCTACAGAATATTAAAACAATGTAGAAAAGGCAATTGCTTCACTAGTTCTCAAAGCACATAAATGTTAATTAAAAGGTAACCCTTTGAGCAAGGGTTCTCAACCTTCTTAATGCTACAACCTTTTAATACTGTTCTTTATGTTGTGACACCAGCGCCCCACCATGAAATTATTTTCACTGCGACTTCAAATATTTAATTTTGCTACTGTTATGAACTGTAATGTAAATATCTGTGCTTTCTGATGGTCTTATGCAACCCCAATGAGAGGGTCATTCAACCCTCAAGGGGTCATGACCCACAGGTTGAGAACTGATGCCTTAGAAAATGAGCAATGATTGGCATCTTTATTATTTATTAACTTAATTATGTAAGTATGTGCTTGAGGGAGATAGATACACACATGCAGGCACACACACACACACACACACACACACACACACACAGAGCTAAAACATGTATCTGTATTAAAGATTAAAGTTTTATTTTTAACTACAGTGACTGATTACTTCCTCCTGATCTTCTCTGCTCACTAAGACGCTTCTCCAGACCACATAGGTTTATTTTTAATGTCTCAGGGAAGAAGGAATAGAAAATAGTAAGGCTATCCTGGTTTAAAAGCAGGGACGAAGGTGTGGGATTGGAGTTTCCTTAAGTGTTTACCCTGGGCAGAATACAAGCAGTTACCTCAGACAGTGGGTGATGGAGGTGTTCTGTTCCACATCAACAGAGAGGTCAAGGAAATCTTCGTCTTTGCTACTCACCTGGAGCAAAACAAAAAAGAGGGGTGGAGATTAGGTACAAAATACACAGTAGACACCGTAGCTAAAACTTTCAGCTTTTATAGGTAGCCCATGACACGTGACAGCAGAAAAGGTCACATGTGGCTACAAATATACTCAGCAAACCAGTTACTTCAGAACATCCAACCCAACCGAAGCTTCCCAATTCAACTTCATCCTCTTCATAGCTCTGATTCAAAACTCAGTGACTAAAACTTAACCTGATTTCCCTTATGCTCCAGCCACGTTCCTCATTGCTGCAACCCGAAAAGTATCAGGCAGGCAACTATGTAGCCCACACTAGCAGAGGATGGGGACAGAAAAAGGCCAAGAGAGAAGACACCTCCACCCACATGGTGACTCTTCGCTAAGCCCAGTCCCTTGAAGTCACTCTCTTCCTCCAGGGTCTGTTTAAGCCTTGTGGGATCAGGGAACTGGACTGTCATGCTGCATTCCATCCAGCTGCCATTCCAACACGCAGACTCCTGTGCTGTAATTCCTGAGCTGGTCACACACTCACAGCTAAGCCCGTTCACTGGCCCCATTGCTCCTCAGCACTTCATGTATCTATCAAAGCTCCTGAGCGACTGCTTCCGTTCTGCTCACTCAGCAACAGCCCTGAGGTTTCACAGTTTTTTGCTGGTGGACTGGGAGGGATGAACTGACCCAGCAACAAACTTGAAGTGTTCAGTCAGCCAGCGGGAAAACGAAGAGCACACTCACTGAAAAGAGCAACTCTGAGTGCCCATGCTCCAAGGAATATATATACAACCCTAACTGGACTTGGCTTTTTGGGAACTGGGAGCTAAGTCTGATGGGGTGCACTATGTGAAATTCCCAAATAATCAATAAAAATATTATGTGGGGGGGAGAGCAACAATGACCCTATAATTACAGATTCTAGAAAAATGACCTAGAGCAATACTCAGAGCTGCAGACACACTCTCTGCTGCTTTTCAAGTAAACTCAGAAATGGAGGCTGCCCCTGCTGACTATGAAGAGTATGAACTGAGACAGTTACTCAGACTCTCTATGCGTCAGTTTCGTTACTGGGCCAAGAACAGCATCTCCAAAGAGTGTTGTTAAGATAAGATACCATATGCAGAGAGCTTTAACAACTATGTGCTCAGGACTGGGTAGTGGAGCCCGCCTTTCATCCCAGGACCTGGAAGGCACAGGCAGGTGGATCTCTGTGAGTTTGAATCTACATAGAAAGTTCAAGACTGGCCAGGATTACAGGGTCTTTAACAAAAGCAAAACAAAACAACAACAAAAAAAGTCTTCAATCCCAGCACTTAGGAGGTAGACATGCAGAATTTGAGGACATACTGGTCTACATAGTGAGTTCTAGGACAACCAGAGCTAATACATAGTGAATGCTTATCTCAAAAAGAAAGAAAGGAAAAAAAAAGTGTTTAGTAACTGGAAGGTTACTAAAAGGTAAAAAATGGTTAATGTATTTACATTTGAGGTAAAAAATGGTTAATGGCCTAAAATGTTCACAAAGCTAGAAATGGTTTGCTACATGGTAGTTACGAGAAATGAAAATGTAGGCTACACAATTACATACACTAAGTCTGTTCAAAAGGCATGTGTATATCTAGATGGACAGTCCTTTGATCTCCCTGTCACCTTTAACTGCGTGGGGCGCTTGCTCTGCTATGGTAGAGGCCATCCTTAGCTCCAAGTCTCTGAGTACAGCTCATCTCATCAAGAGGACATTGTCATCATCCCAACCCCAGCCGTGTGTGTGTGTGTGTGTGTGTGTGAGTGTGTGATAGTCTGAGACAGTAATTCACTATGCAGCGAAGCCTGGCCTTGAACCGAATTCTCCTGCCTCAGCACGGCGAGTGCTAGGATTCTAGGCAATTATAGACAGGCAGGCATATGACAGGGTACCCAGCTGTTTCCCCATTCTTGAATCCAAGCGCAGCTCTGGAACCTGTCTCGGCCAGGGAGACTTTAGAAGACACACTATCAGCAGAGGTTGACAAGCACTGGCATACATACCATATATGTATATGTTTATGTATATGAGTATTTTATATATATATATATGTATACATATATATGCATATGTGTGTATGTCTATATATACATATATAGACATACACACATATATGTATATTTTTATGTATATGAGTATTCTGCCAACATGTATGTCTGTATGCTACATGTGTCTCTGTTGCCCCTGTAACAGACTTAAAGAGGGAGCTGGGTCCCCTGGAACTGGGGTTATAGACAGTTGTAAGCTACCATGTAAGTGCTGGGAATTGAACCTGGGTTCTCTAAAAAGTAGCCAGTGTTCTTAGCTGCAGATCCACCTCTCTCCAGAACCATGAGACTGCTTTCTTGCACTTCTGTTGTCACCATAAGGATGCTAAGCACAGCTAACCCTACAGAAGACTCCAGAAATGTGGTCTCAACTTAGACACTCCTCTAAAGCAAATGCTCCGGCCAACCTATGACACAGGCATAAGCCAACTGAACACTAACATAGAACTTGAGCCAGATCTAACCTAAAGCAGTTGCCCCTAAGCCAACACATATTGCAAGGGTTCTAATAACACGTGACAGATGCACTCCAGCCTCAGAGCTATGAGGGCAGCTGATAGCAAACTACAGAGAACTGATACAACCACATGACATTACATATATTCTATTTTCCTTACTAAAAGCTCAGAAGGTTGGCTTTGGCAGTAACTAAAATCTTAGTTTATTAATATGCTTCCAAAAAACCTATAAATATCTCCAAGTAATTATATTTATGGATCACCATAAATGAGAAGGAGGCACTGAAAGGTGTTGGAGAATGAACAGAGATAATATATTCATGGAAGAAGAACAGTAAAGAATGACAGAAAGATTATGAGCGGGGGAGGTGGGGGGGGGCTGGAGAGATTGCTCAGTGTTAAAAGAGTACTGGCTGTTCTTCCAGAGGTCCTGAGTTCAATTCCCAGCAACCACACAGTGGCTCACAACCATCTGTAATGAAATCTTATTCTCTCTTCTGGTGTGCATGAAAACAAAGCACTCATATACATTAAATAAGGAAAGAAAGAGAGAGAAGAAAGGAAGGAAGGAAGAAAGAGAGAAGGAAGGAAGGAGGGAGGGAGGGAAGGAAGGAAGGAAGGAAGGAAGGAAGGAAGGAAGGAAGGAAGGAAGGAAGGAAGGAGGAAAGAAAGAAGGAAAGAAAAGATAGATCATGGGTCTTTGCCTAGATGATTCAAACAGCAGTTGAGGATTCAACCATGGGCATCAGGAGATACGATCTTTAATGTGCCCAAAGAAACCTTATCAATACAGAATCCAGATGTGCCACCTTCAAGAATATAGGCAAAAGGAAAAGAATTCTTTTATATTCCTATCTGTTTGCTTGCTTGTTTTTGAGGCAGGGTCTCTGTGTAGCCCTAACTATCCTGGAACTTGCTCTGTAGATCAGGTTGGCCTTGAACTCAGAGATCCCCTGCCCCTGCCTCATAAGTGCTGGGGTTAAAGGTGTGCAGCATCACATCTACCAGGAAGATGATTCGTTCAGCCAAAGAAAAATCATGTGGAAACCCAGATTGTCAAGAATGGTGAGTATCTGTGTGAATGAAGATATGGATCGATTGTCAATGCTGGTTTGCCTGTCTAAATGCTCACACCTGGCAGTGCTGGTGGTGATTGTGGTGGTATTGGTGGTGGTGACAGTGATGGCAATGGAGATGGGGTGGTCATGCTGCTGCTGCAGTTAAAGGGGAGTCACAGTTTAAACATGCATATCAGTAGACAGAAGAGCAAGGACTATGCTTAAGACTTGACGTAATTTCTAGCACGTGACAAGCACATAATAAATACATCCTACATGAATTCCTCAGCTGAAGAAAAACTGAACAAATACCTAAATCAGTGGCCTCTCAGAGACAAAAATAGCAATCATTTTCTTTTTAGCTCATATTTCTTTTTACATTTGCTCACAAATATTCTATATTTAAACTGATAAAGCATTCTCTTAACTGAAACAGCCCCTCTCTGAGAAAAAAATAAAAATATGATGGCCAAGTGGAATCACACCAAAATCATATAGAAAGGGGTGCAATGAGGCGGGGAAACAAAATTTTCTGTGGGGTCAGATGTGAGTCTTTTTCAATTTAACCATTTCAGAGAAAGGTAGAAAAATCTCAGGAGGTAGCTGAAGAAAGTTGTCACATTTTTCTCAGCTCTAAATGCAGAGAGCTCTCGGGATGAGAGTGGTAAAGCACTGCTCAGTAAGTCAGCCCTGGGGGGAGATCAAAGCCTGGTACACCGACCCATCTGGACGGTTTTCTGTCCCGGCCCCAGGAAATCACAGTCGAAGTGAGGCGCGGTCAAGAAACAAACTGCGGAAATGCTTAACATTTTGATAAGGAGGGGTTGTTTTCCTTGTTGTTTGGTGGTTGGTGAGGGTGGTGAGAGGGTTTCGAGGAGGATTGTTTTCTTCAAGCCAGCTGCCAGGAAAGCATACTCTTCCCTGCACAAGGATCTGGCCAAAGGGAAAATACAGCTTGTCTCCAAGGCAACACATCACTGTGAGATTCCAACACTCTCAGCACAAACAGCCTACAGTCACTTCTTTCCTTCCTTAATTTTGAGCCTGATGTCCTTGCCCCATCCCCAAGAGCCCCCCCCTTTAAAAAGTAAAGAAAGAGACCCTACTTGCTCAATTTTAAATAACTGTAACTCAATTAGTAGAAGAAATCAGCCTATCGGTCACACATTTACATCATGAGTAAGTGAGGTCATCTTTAAGTGTGCTGATTCCTTTCCTGGGTTAGTGGGAATGGTAAGAGCTCCTTAGGATTAAGCCGTGATGACACCACCCCAGGTGGTACCAAGGACAGACTGAGGGAAGTAGCCCCAGCTACCCATCTGAGGCCTGGCCTCAGAATCTCCACTGAGTGTGTTAGCAACCTCTGCCTCCCCAGCTCCCCTCTCTGTCTGGGCAGGTCTCAGAAGCTCTC